ATAAGAAGAAACCTCCTTTTCCCTTTACATAAATTTAATCGTAAGAAAAAGGAATAAATGGAGAGTGACATTTTCAAAGAATCTTAACAGTCGTTGTGAATTCATAGTAAGGGGGAAATGTATAACTGAAAGACAGAAGTAGTCACTTACAGTAAAATAAAAACCACAATCTCTTTTGTATTATGTTTTTATGAGACCTGATGTTGAGTCAACATTTACATGTGGGCCACACGAGTGAATGAAGCAGTGGTGAAAACATGGTTTGGCGTGTGCTTCATGAGAGATCAAGCAAAGCACAATTGTGAAACACTCAAATAAGTCTGATAGTGTGGACCCATTTCTGAGGCATGGGTATCTTGTTAGATCTGCAGATTTTGATTGTACCATTTTCAGTATCAAAACGCCTGCCAATTATTTATCTCAAATATCCTTCACAAATTCTATGAATGTTTTTGTTATATAGGACAAACAATTAAACCTGCAGATTGTCTATGTTAAACTACAAATTGAAAGGCTGGAATTATGACCTTTTTTATTATTTGATAGATAATCAAAATAGCTGCAAAATGTTATGAGACTGAATGTCACAACTGTCATTTATTTAGGCAGGTTCAGCTTTCATGCCGTACATCACTGCACTTTTTGTTGAAGCATCATCGAATCATCTTCTGCATCAAAGCATTGTTGTAATTGAAATAAAGAAGCAGACTGTCCCATGTCAACCTTACACTCAGGCTACATCTATATCTATATATATGTTACTTTTTTAAACCAAAATGATCTCTGCCCAGGCGAGTATTTTCGGCTCTCTGTCCACACACTGAAACCACATATCACATGACCATTCATGTACACTTGGCATTATTCGTGGTGTGTCAATACAAACAGGAAGCAGATTGTCTACTATGCAGTTGGTTTCTTAGTTACTGAAACATGTGCAAAAGAAGCAGCAATGGTGAAAAGTAGGAACTGTGATGTCTTTATTTTTGCCACTGGACGTCACATTGTGACCGGAATCAAATGTGGATAACTGCATGATCATTTCTGATAGACAGACCATGACTGTGTATAAAGATTAATGACATGATGATTCCCTAAAAGTGAAGCCAAAGGGCCTTCATTCACGGTGAAATGTCAGGAGTGACAGATGAGACTGACTTGCGTGTTTATCGGTGAGACTGCACAGACTCTGGCTTCAAATGTCGTCTTCGGTACAAGAGGTCAGAGTTCATAACGTGGATATTTAAGTTCATTTCCTAAAAGTGGGCCATATGGGCCAGGCTAAAACGCTGCCCTGGAGTTTTCAAAATAAAACAGGACCAGAAGCGTTTCCAAAGAAAATTAGTTGATTGATCCATAAATCGTTTGACAAACATTGTTTTGATTACTGTATATAAAAATGCCATCATCCAAGGAAATGTGACCCGATTGTTTCTCTGAGGTCGATACAACCCTATTCATCTGTATCTGAGGAGATCTTGAAACATCAACAGTCATTACTGACTGATGCTTGGAGCAGTGGAAATAAAGCAGAAAAGACTTGACTGAGTCATTCACATTCTGTCTGACTAAGGATATCATGCCATTGAAAGTTGTAGACGATGTAGGATTGATGTACACTAAAGATGCATGGTGCTTCGCAACGGTGCATTAAAAAAAAAAAAAAGAGAGACCACGCCTTGTCTAAATGTGTGATCAGCCACTGAAGCTGAAAGGGCTTCAAAGTTTCCCAAATCAACATTTTTGAATATTGGTAATGCATCCTGGCTGTAGCTTCCATCCTTCCTCCAGCAGTCCTACCTGTTCAACAGTGAGGCTTAATGCTGCCTGCGATGATGGAAGACAGAGGCCGTTGTCAGAACAAGCCAGTTCGCTATTTTTAGGCAGTTCAGGTGATTTCACTAATGAGACAAAGCTCAGAGGAACTCATGTCTGATTTGGTGTGTGTGTGTGTGTGTGTGTGTGTGGGTGTGTGTGTGTGTGTGTCTCTGGAAGAGGCCATTTGTTGAATTAGCTGGTCAGTGTTGAAGTGTTCAACGATTAAGGTTAATCCTTGAATCTCTGTGATGTAAGATCTGTCGTTTTCCTCTCTGTCCCTCTCTCTTAATTCCTTGCTCACACATTCAGTCCTTGCTGTTTGAAACCTGTGTGTGTGTGTGTGTGTGTGCGTGTGCGTGTTTTGGGAGGAGGGAGGGGGTTGTCAGTAGCACCCATTCTGCAAACAAGGATGCCCCGTGCACTCGGCTGTGTACATACACCATGTGTGGATGCATGTGAGTCCGTTGATTTGTATAAGCCTTTTAGTGTGGGCTTTGGAGCAGAGGGGAAATGATGCATCAAGTCTGGAGGAGCGATAAAGCAGAGGGGAAGACGTGAGAATTTACGATAGCAGGCGCAAGGCCCAAAACAAATAGCTTGTGCACTTCAAAACTGAATCAGTGAGCCCGCTAAGTTAAAGCAAAAGCTACTTTTTAAAAGCATGAGGCTGTATGTCATATAATTAAACAATTGTAAATTCTCAGAGGGTTGCAGAGGACTTTATATGCCTTGGCTGCGGAAAGAATCAGGTTTAGCCTTTCATGCAACATAGAGAGAATGTATTTTCTCACATTTCAAAAGAAACTCTAACCTGCCTCTGCTTCAATTTGCTGTAGATTAGGGACACAGGTAAGGATTATTTACCCCATCAATCCATGTGGCAATCATTTTTTGAGTAGTCTATGAATTGTTTTGTCAGCAGTAAGACAAATCTGTAACAGTTCCATGAAGTCCGAGGGGACATCGCGTAAAGGTTTAGGAATTTTCTGCCCACAATATAAAACATACTGAATTTGCCATCACATAAGACTGAGATAAAGAGAAAATGACAAGTTAAATTCAAGGAATGCTTTAAATCTTTAATTAATTGTTTACTTTTTGACTTTACCATTGATCATCTAATTGCAAGTTCAGTCTTTACTTTAACTTTCCCTTTTGGTCCTGATTCTCCAAAAATCACATCCGTTGGCTGGTTGCACACTTTCCAACTACTTTAACTTGGTGTGCACTGCATGCAGCTAAAACATATTCAATCACATATCAGCTTGAGGCAAGAGACCATAGACAGGTCCGTCTATACAGACATCTGTATAATCCATCAAAAATACTATAAATGAAGGAGCACTCAGATTCTCAGATGGCTCCTGGAGGAAGATTAAAGAGACTGTTGGTAAAGACAAGACTTTCTGCTAGAAACTACAGGGAAAAAAGTTCAGGTCAACGATTTAATCTATTGACAAGATGAAAACTATATCGACAATCATTAAAAAAATGTTGTCCACTTTTAGGCAAAGATGCAATAAAGTTGGGACAATTTGCCACATTTCCAGGCATGTGTTGCAGTAAAACTGAATACCTTTGGTTTTTTGACATATGGCCCTAAACTATTGATTCAGTTTACACCACCATCCGACATCTTACAGACCAAACAATAATAACTAATTTATTAATTGAAAAACATATCTGTCAGCCATACTTCTGGACGTGGTTGGCAGTGATTAAGGTCGTTGTGACAATCACATATATTCTTCTTCTTGTGTCTTCCAACATTTCTTTGGTCAGGTCAAGTCTTACTTGCTGCACTTGCAACACAATGTCCTTTAAGGCCCCCAGGAAGGTTAATGTGACTGACTAGACCCGTGATTGGTGTCAAGAGTGAGATCTTGTTAGCTTTCTATCTTTGCTAATACCTGATGTTAATCAGGCAAAGCCACAGAGCCCAGCATTCTACGGAAACACGAGGTGCCACTGTGTCTCAGCAACAGCCTGCTGTGGCCATGTGGCTGCTAAGCTCATTGCTCGTGTGTCTCTTGTCTCTGTCACCTTGATCTTTCCTGTCGCCACATGTACATATGAGGGAAACTGTTGCAGGCGGTAAATAGGTGTCAGGGGATGGCCTCAAGGCCAGCAGCATATAGCCAGTAGTCACAAAAGCAATTACCATGGCAACAGTGCGTCTCATCTCTGCAGGCAACATGGAAGCGTTTTTGTTCCCTGCTGTCCCACCCTCCTCTTTCTCAGATAATGTTTCATTGAGCATGGATTTCTCGACCCATCACGAGGTTTTTATCCATTGTTTGTGTGTTAGAGTGCAACACAGTGTCATTTTCAGCCAATAATGCCTGGTGCCATTTTCTGTTATTATGAGTGTGTGTGTTTGTGCCAATAGCAGCCCTAATAAGAACAAGACATCCTTAATCCGTTATTAAGGCTAATACAGTAAATGATGCTGCCCTTCCTTCGTGTTTATGTGGTGTTACAGCTGTATACCTCTGTGTGTTTGTACATTTGTTCGACACATTGGACCATCCAACAGGTGTAAAATCACCTACTGTAGGTTAAGAGACATCATGATATCAGAAATTTTGTAGTAATTTTGTAGTACCAGTGATGCTGAATTTCTATGATTCTCAATATCAAATTCAATACCACAGCAAAAATAAGACTATTGCGCACACACACATCTATATAGTAAGTGTGCAAGCAGTAGTGATTCAGAGGGCATTCAACCTTTTTGTGAAAATATTTCCTTTAAAATATCAGCTGTATTCTCACAGACTGAGCAGGGATGAAAGTTGACAATAATGCTCACTAAACAAGCTGTTGCTAATCTAACGTTTGTAATGTGTACACAGAATCTTCTGCCATTTATAACAGTGCAACATTTGTTTGGTTTTTTCTAATTGAGGATCTATTGTAGACTTTGTAAGTCATTGTTCCCACAAATACAAACTGTTGCATGCTTATAAATAAATGCAGGTAACTATTTTGGTCTTGCAAAGTGTTGGACCAGCAGGTTGACCGTCATGGCCAACTCCAGAACTTCACTGCTGTCCTCTTTAAAACGTACACAGTATTCTGTACTTTCATCACAAATTCAGTGTAACCAGCAGGGAGTGTTTGTAAGGCAGTTAACAGCAGCATTGCTTATCTCTCCTCACTGTTTCTCTTTTGTCCTTCAGGCTTCTTACTGTTTAAGGACTTCTGTATGAATGAGATTGACGAGGCCGTGCCACAGCTCAAGTTCTACGAAGAAGTAAGTCTAAAGAGTCCCGTGTGTGCAAGATTAGAGGGCTTCATGGGATGGACGAGAGATTATGCCTGTAATCCACTCATTCAGATTTAGCTCACCCAGGAAGTGCTTTGTGTTGTTTTGTTGGGAACTTTTAAGATGACCCCATGCGCCTCTCTTTCAGATTAAGGACTACGAGAAGCTGGACTCGGAGGAGGAGAGGTTTAGTCGCAGCCGACAGATTTACGACGGCTATATCATGAAGGAGCTCCTGTCCTGTTCACATGTAAGGACAACAGCCTCAGATCCATGCTGTGTCACTAATTCACTCTGGGTCGAGTGCGCATGTGGACACTGAACACATGTGGTGGGATGAGGAGTGCTTCTGTCTGCGGTTGGTTAATGCAGTGTTTCCAACCAGGGAAAATAAAAGCATTAAAATCTCACACTGGAATCAGGCAATGTTTCCATAGAAATTTGACAAATGATTTATTTATCAGAATGGTCGTGGATTCACTAGCTGTCATTTGACAGCTCTACTTATGAGTGGAAATCACTCTTTGTTTAAGTTGCTCAAAGCTCATGGACGAATGAAATGGGAACAGCTACCAGACAGAATGAACCCTCTACACTCAAACACAAGCATTCAAAGCCAGAACATCATACATACATTATATATGTACTTGCAGTTCTATGATTTCTGGACTCACTGAATTCCATTAGATTAACACAAAGTACACTGGCAATCAGGGAATATTGATAAGTCATACAAATCTATGTTAGTTAATGTTGTCTTGTTAAATCTACCTACTTCTCTCGTTTTCTCTTTCTTTCTTTCTCTCTCTCTCTCTCTCTCTCTCCCTCCCTCCCTTTTGCCCGCGCTGGGTGTTGCCACGTGACTCCACTTCCTGTAACAGTCGTTTCGATTTGATTATATACATTCTGCACAGTCATGTAATTCTTGACATTTCAGCAGCGGTGATGTGGTATAGATGTGTGTAGTGGAAACACTGCTCATCTTCTTATGCACACCGACATTAGAACCAGTTTAATAAAGCCTGAAGATGAATCTTTCGTCAGATGAGTCTACATGGTAATGAAGATGTTTCTCTTCGCAGGGCACATGAGGTCTGCCACCTCTCATCTTGGCCAACTGCATGGGTGAAATGATGAATATGCAGCAAAGGGCCGCAAATTGAGCACACAAACAAAAATTAATGAATCGAGACCCCCAGCTAAACATTTTAGTCATTTTATGCTCGCACACTCAGACAATACGAAGCAGGCAACAGTTAGTTCTATTATAAGACAGTGATTAGATATCATCAAAACATTAATGGCAAATTAAGTTTTTCTGTGTGAGAACAGAAACTCTTTTCCTACACCATTCATGTTCAACTCCTCCCTCTCGGGTGCCAAATATCTCTGCTGGGCATTGTGGTTCTATCTGTAAATGTGCTGTCATGTCTGAATACAGCAACTTTTCAACAGCAACTCAACTCCGTCTCTGTGACAGAAAGCCATCTCTCAGGGGGATGAAGCCAGCAGTGATACATATTCAGTGTCTGAAAAGGAGTTTGAATGCATCACCTGGATCCGCTGGACCATCAATGCTGCTCTGGACAAATGAAACTGCTCTGTCCCCATAGAAGACATTTAAAACACTCGACTGCACTTAAGCACATGATACTCTATGGACGGAGCCCAGAAAGAAAAGTAGAAAAAGTGGAATTAGTTTTAAGTTACCATTTGAAAGTCATGTATTTGAACACAGGGAGCTGATTGGAAATCCTTGCAGAGTGCCTCCACCTGGCCTTAGACAGTGAGATCACACTGCAGCTTGTTCAGTCCTGCAAAGCAATGGTTTTGAAGTAAGGCAAAGTTGGTGCTTGCTGCTAATGGCTAGTTATTGACCACACCGCGCATAAACACACACACTGCAGATGTTGGTCGTCCTTGGTAGAGGCATCTCTTACAATCCTAGTTGTGTTGCATTAAACAGAAAAAAACAGAACTGGAATAACTTCTGAAGCTGAAGATTTAAAATGACCCTTCCTTTTTTTCCTACTCTGTTTTTCAGCCGTTCTCTAAGAAAGCAGTGGACCATGTGCAGAGTCACTTGGCAAAGAAACAGGTTCCGCCAACTCTCTTCCAGGTAAAAGACCTTGTTTCTGAATCTTTTTTATCTGTCACTTTATTTTTTCATTCAGATTCAACAACAGCAAATACAGAAACTATGATTGCTGTTTAAAGTATTTGTTAATTTAAAGAGACAAAGAATAAGTTATTTTTCATAGCAGACATTGTGATATAATAAATCATGACAGGAGTCTATAATGGAGCTCAGCTTAAAGGTACAGTGTGTAGAATTTAGTGATACCAAGTGGCTAAGTTGCATGTTGCAGCTGAACACCCCTCACCTCACCCTCTCCTTCCAAACATGAAAAAGAACCAGTGGTGGCCTTCACTTTTCATAAAAACTCAAAAGGTGTTTAGTTTGTCCAGGTTGCACTAAAGTAAAAAACATGGCGGCCCATGGAGGACCCCCTCCATGTAAATATAAAGTATTTAAATATAAAGGGCCTTTTCTGGGGTAAAGAAAACTATAATTCATACAATTTAGATGAAATGCACTCGTGAAAACATCATGAGGATTATTCTACATCATTCATCATTCTAATCTTACACACTGAACCTTTAAGTTTTTATTTTCACAATAAAACTGCACAGAAAACGATTTCAGCACAACCACCGGTTTGTGTCAGGGGCCGTATTCAGACGGATTAAAATGATGATTAATGATGATATTTTTGTACTTTACCCCCTCAGCTTATTTGAGGGTGTAAATTACACACTCACAGACACGTACTTTGCAGGGCTTATTTTTAAACTGTAGTTTTTGTGCTTCCTCAAAATAAATTTGTGTCAGGGCTGGGCAATGTGACAAATTGTTTCATCACAATCTTCGTATTTTTTGTATCACTTAATGTTCCCTTTAACTTTAAATTCCCTATTAGTTGACTTTGAACATAACAAAAACCAACATTTGTCTGAGCTGTATACAGAAAATCTGTTTACATAAATAAAACCATTCAGTATAAATCCATATTAATCACGAAGTGTGAAATTTATAACTTGGTTCAATACTTTAATCAGTTTTAATTGTCCGTTTGTTATTTAGGATATCAGTAAATTTATGATTTTGTGCAGAGAATTAAAGTTTATTGCTGCAGTGTGTCTTGAGTCCAGGGGCTAGGTCTAATCGTTGATGAGACTGTAAGTGGTTGTGTTAATTTGTACAGTGCTTTTCAACAACAAGGCACTTAAATGAACATTACCTAAGACATAGAGAGACACTAATGCACAGTATGAAGAAAACTAAGATCATTTGAAGACACGTAAACATGATTTTAAAAAAGTAAAATAATAAAGTGGATGAAAAATGTGATACAAGAGGTTACACAGTTACAGTTTCATGTCTCTTGGTGACCTGGCCCTGTCTCAATGTTTCTAGATGGAGCATTAAGTAGACAAAGTATTTCCACACCACTGACATCTTGTTACCTCATTTACCCAAGGCAGCCCTTCCATATTTCTGTTTCCTCAGAGGGAGTACTCTTCTGTGCTACCTTTCTATTCAGCCCTTAATACCGACGCGGCAGCATGTGGCGTGTTTGTTTGTGCTCTCTTTCTGTGACGTGATTGGCTGCAGACACATTGTCCGGCAACGTGCTCTGTCGACAGTTTGACAGTTTCTCATTTCCTTGTGGAGGAAATGTTACTAAAGAAAAAAAAAATCACTCCTGTTGCCCAGCACTAGTTCCTGGTATGCATTTATGTTTTCCAGCTCTATCAATAGTATATTTATACCGCTCATTCTCAGGGTCATTACATATTTAGTGCAGTGCAAAGCATCAGTTGCCAAACAGCCACCAAGGAAAATAAAATACAGAAGAGAAACAAGAGATGTTTTCGTTCACAGTGAATCTAATCCAACCTTTCAGTAAATCTAATCAACAAATCCCTCTTTTGGATTATAACATGGCTTTTACTTTGTAAAATTATCCCTTGCCTGAACTTTCTGTCAGAGATATCAAATCTATTTCCTGTATATATTTGTTAGACTTCAGGGTTCCTCAAGTTTTACACTCAGCTGGAACATAGCGGTGTCTGTGGAGTGCCCTTGTCAAAACGCAGAGATGTGACTGTTCAGTGAGAGTTTCTGTGAACGGGTTTGCTTTAACAGCAGACATTTTTAAGGTCTGGCCACAGGAAATGTGGCAGAGGCAGACACCTTGAGTCCAGTTCAGTCATCATAACAATGCAAAGAAGATATATTCACATACATTTGTAAAGAATTTTTATCACATAGTTACTGAGGCGCCAGAGCAGACGAAACACTGGAGCTGAGCTACTGTTTATATGTCTGTTCCCCCCCCTGCAGCCATACATAGTGGAGATCTGTGACAGCCTGAGAGGGAATATCTTCCAGAAGTTCATTGAGAGGTGAGACAATGATGTCAGAGGTGGAGGAACTTTCACCATTCGTTCAACATATCACAGTATATTCACATTTTATTGCCTCTCCTCTTTTTTTCCTTAGTGATAAGTTTACTCGCTTTTGCCAGTGGAAGAACGTGGAGCTCAACATTCATGTGAGTACGAGCTTTTACTGCGACTGTCACACCTGCAGTTTGACGCTTTTGGTCCAAAAGAGTCTTACTGGGTCTAAGGCTTTGCCAGTATGTCTACAGGTATTTAACACAGGACAGATATCTGTATGTGAATGATAACGTGCAACACAGATAGTCACTCACTTATATTTGGTGGGATAATCATGCTCTTTTTAAAACTACAGTTCCTTCATCCTGTTTGGGGATTTTAACAGTAAATTAGCTTCGCCCTCTTTTCCCATTCCCTTACAAACATGTCTGATCCAGACCAAAAAGAAAAAAAAACACACTTCCATTTTTTAGGTCCAGTCCATTTCACGCTGACTTAATATAATTGCACCAAGAGGTGTAAACATTACATCACATGGGCTGCCAGGTACCTCATTCACCGGGGCAGCCTTACTGACTCATCCTGCATCATCATCAGCAGCATCAAAGTCTAAATAATGTGTGCTCCAGCAAGTCACACGTGTCACGTCATCACGCCTAAGTGTTTATTTATTTTCTGCGGCGTTGCAAGGAGTCCACACAGAAATGTGGTGGTGCTCATGGGCGGGACGAGTCCAGGCTGCTTTTAGACCTTAAATGTCATAAGTACAGATGCACAGGTTGCAACACAAAGCTAGAAAACAAATAAAATAGTG